TTGGCAGCGGTCCCAGTTCTAAGGGGCTTTGGCTCAGAGTGAACAGATACTCAGAATCTTGTCCATGGGTGACATTAGAGAGATCAGAGAGCAAATAGCCAACAAAGGACACACACATACACGCCCGTGAGTGTGTGTGTGTGTGTGTGTGTGTGTGTGCGCGCGTGCACACGTTTACAGTTGAGAAAGAAAACGAGAGCTGGAGAAAACAAAACTTTCAGAAAACAAAATTTCACCACTAGGCAATGAGTCCATTACCAGTGGTGTCGGACCAGCTCCCTGAGTGACTGACCAGCTGGGATGAGTTGCTTCACCTCCATGAGCCTCAGACTCCTCAGCTGGTAAAAGATGATTGGATCTCAACCCTCACTGCACACTAGAAGCATCTAGGGAGGTTTTAAGAATAATGCTAACGAAGGCTCCTGGGTGGCTCAGTGGGTTAAGCGTCTGCCTTCAGCTCAGGTCGTGATCCCAGGGTCCTGGGATCGAGTCCCGCATTGGGCTCCCTGCTCAGTGGGGAGCCTGCTTCTCCCTCTGCCCCTCCCCCTGCTCATGCTCTCTCTCTCTCTTTCACTCTCATAAAAATAAAAGTCTTAAAAAAAAAAGAATAATGTTAACTAGGCCCCATCCCAGGCCAACTGAGTACATGTCTGGGAATGGGCCCCCACTCCTGTCTCTGTGTTAAACAGAAATCCTCAGGTGATTTTGATGTACACCTGGGCAGGAAGCAGGGCCTAGATGATGCCTGTAATCTACTGTATAACTGAGATTCTCTGAGCGATCTGAGACTCCATCCCTGGACCTACTTCCTGTTCTGTGTGGCCCAGATTCAGTGTCTTCATTACTCTGTGCCTTATTTCCCCTCCTGCACCACGAACAATTAACCCCACAGTCTCCTCCCGATCCACAGGATGGCATGGAAGAAGAATGGAATTTTGAGTGTGCGGACCACTATATAAAAAGCATGTTCTTGGCTTTTGGGATTATTCCCAAGCACTTGCAATTACATCCGTGAAAAACTCAAAGACTCAGAAATCCTTTGTTGTGAATGATCTGATGGATTTCACCTCTTCGGCTCTTCACGCACCCTCTCAGTCCACCTTGACCCCCAGTTTGGCCTATTGCAACATATTCAAGTACTAACTGAATTTTATCATTGTCTTTTTGACATTTCAGGCTTATTTTGAAATATTTACAGGCTCACAGGAAGCTGTAGGAAGAGCCTTCTATGTCTTTCACTCCATTCCCCCCCAAACCCCCACCCCCCCAATGGCTAATTCCTATATAACTGTAGTACCGGCTCAAAACCAGGAAAGTGACATTGGCACTGTGTGTATATTTTAAAGCTAAAATAGATCATGAGTTCACCTTACAAATTCAAGTTTAAGATTTTTACTTAACCTAATTGTGTATCTTTTCTCCTGAACTGAATGTCTGAGGCTGATATTCATACGATCTATTCCACAATGTGCTACAACAGCCTCAGAGTAAGAAAATCAACAAAACAACCTTCAAAACGACTGCTGAGTAGAGTTTAAGATTTTTTTTTTTTTTTTTGCTTTTCTTGTTGTCCATAAGATATATCCTTCTAAAAATATAGAGATAAATTACAGCGTACTGAAAAATCACTGGGGGGGGAGGTGATACTGGCCTTCAGTGTGTTGGTTCCAGCGCCATGGTGCCCTCAGGAAGTTCTTCATGGTGGAGAGCACTGTTAAGAAGAGTCTGGGGGGACGCATCACCGCTCTGAACACTGCCAAGCTGCGGCAGACACCTAGGTAGTTTGTGTGCCCCCCACCGCAACATGGACCTGGCTGGCAGAATCCCAAGATCTGGCTGGGAGAACTGCTGCCCAGTGACGAACGGGGCCTTCCCTGGGTGATCAGCCCTGGCCCTCCTGGGGGCACTCAGAAAAAAGGCCTGTCTCTGGGGAGTCAGATGAGCAGATAGGGCAGAAAGGGGCCCACACCCTTGCAAAGGGACTGTAAGTAATCGCCTGCCCTGGGGAGAAGCTGAGTGAGAGGGAAGCTGGCATCACTGAGTAGGCACTTTTGAGCAATCCAAGGCCACCATAGATAATGCAGAGGACTGGAACAAGGTTGTCCTGGCCTATGAGCTCACGTGGGCCATTGGTACTGGCCAGACTGCAACAGGAAGTATGCAAAACGGTCCAGGGATGGCTTAAGGCTCACGTGGCTGATGCAGGGGCTCAGAGCATCCTGTTTATGTTGAAGGTTCTGGGACTGGAGCAACCTGCAAGGAGCTGGCAAGCCAGCCTGCTGTGGGTGGCTTCCTCGTGGGTGTTGCTTCCCTCAAGCCCAAACTGGGGGACATCATCAATGCCAAATTGCGCCCCTTCCATTTACCCTACTCTTCCTGCTCAGCCAGGGACAAGGTAACTCAGAGGCCCAATCACTGCGTACCCAACTGCCCCCCAAAGCTGCACATGCTTCTGGATGGTGTCACCTGCTCCCTCTTGTGGCCTAATCCAAACTGTACCCCTTCTTTACCTTTACCCCTTACCCTGTAATAGTTGGGACAGGCCTTTCCTTTTCCGCTTACCATCATGGTTAGCACCACACAGGTGACCAAGGTGGCTTCTCCTTGGCTTGAGAGGGGAAAGGGGTGGAGTTTGTTCATGGGTCCCCTTGGTCCTCAATGAGAGCAGGAGAGAGAAGCCATCCTCTTCTCCCGACTCACGCCACAAGGTCGAGGGCTGAGAGCCAGGGGTGTGACTCTGTCCCGTGGTGCCAAAGACTGTGTTATATGTTGTGTGTTTGCAAAGTTTCACGTGTGGGGAAAAGAAACACCCGGCACGTCAAACGAATCACTTGGAATATTTTCTTTCCATGCGCTTTTATCCTCTAGCCCATATATATTTTGTTTCCCTTGCCTAATTTTGGTTTCCCTTTTAGATATGGCTTTTTTTGACCTTTCTATCCTAACCGTTTTGTTTTGAGCATCATCAGACAGACAAAAGTTGACAGAATTTTACAACGAATGCTAGTATACTCACCACCTAGATTCTACAGTGACATTTTACTATATTTGCTTGATTCCATATCTACTCATCCATCAGGCCTTGATCCATTAATTTATCTTCGTTTTTGTTGTGGTGTAAGAAAGCAATCGGTACCATTAGCTGATAAAACACGTCAGCATGGGACACCTGGGTGGCTCAGATAGTTAAGCATCTGCCTTTGGCTCAGGTCATGGTCCCAGGGTCCTGGAATCGAGCCCCGCATGAGGCTCCCTGCTCAGTGGGGAGCCTGCTTCTCCCTCTGCCTGCCACTCCCCCTGCTTGTGCTCTCTCTCTAATAAATAAAATATTAAAAAAAAAAACCATGTCAGGGTGCATATTGTGATGACTTTAGTCCCATCTTGTTTACAAGAAAAAGACAGTATTCCTGCTCTAGTACTTTTTTGCAGGTTAAATATAATAAATCAGTTCTTTTTCAGTAGCAACAAAGTTGAAAAGGGTGCTAATTACGTGTTTTTTGTTCCCCGGATGTCCCCTGAACGACCAGCCTCCACACCAGTCAGTTCCAGCTCTCAGGGAAAAACCAACCTTACAATTCCATGGCCTGTAGAACTAAATCCCTACCCAATATTTTAAAAGATTCTTGGTGGTGTTTGTATTCCCAAGGTTTCAACCCCTCTGACCTTCTATTGCCCTAGACGTTGCTTCTGTGTTTTTCGACTTCCACCCAAACATAGAACATACATCTTTTAAAAAATTTCACCCATAAAATTCACTCAAGACTTTGTTAGCTTATCAAGTGGTTAATTTTACTGAATGTTTTGGGAGAAAATATTTTAGTTAGAAACTGGAGAAGGTTGTATCATGCACCACGCAGCAAGCACTCAAAAACTGCATTATTGTATTTGTCATGTTTAGCTGGCAACTCTTAAATAGGTTTTTCCCTTATTTGTCTTTCCCCAATACACTTTAATTTTTCTTAGATGTGACTACATGTCCAGCCACATGTCTGGAACACATAGATCCTTTGTGATTGCCAGTGGCTGGACAAATGTATACAGAAGAGTTTGAGTTTCTTCTGAGGTTAGAGATTTGGCTCACTGAGCAGCAGGTCTTGGCTGCAGGAGGGCCCTGGGAAATGGGCCCTAGGGCTGGAACATGGTAGTGACCCCCTGAAGTCCCTTCTCATTTTTTTCTTTCTCATCTTTGCTCATTTGCTTTGCCTTCAGATCTGATAGGTCAATGCCCCTGGCCACATGAAAAAGATATCCTTTCTGTTTTTGTTTTCTGTTTCCTATGCTTTTTAACTTCTGAGTGGGTAGTTGGTGTCAGATATTTTCCAAATACAGAATGCGTATGTGCACAAATATGCAGGAATGCGCCCGTGTAAGCTCAAGAATCAGCGTGTGTGGAGAGAGATGTGTGAGGCATGTGTATATGAGCAGCCTGTGCCCTTGGTTCAGGATCACCGTCTCCAGGAATTCATGCCTTGAGTGTGTGAACCAAGCAGCAGGAGTGTCTTTGGACCAATGTGTGGGCCTCCTGTGGTTATGTGCCTGCAGATACACGGGTGCGTGCACACAGTTACACTGGCGCGTGACTGGTGTGTGGGCGCACGAGGGGCTGAAATCTTCCCTGTTTAAGACTCCTCTGTCCAGGAGACCAGATAGACTGAGGATGGAAGCTGTTCATTCCAGATGCAAAGCCAGAAGGAAAAGGACTCTTGTTGGTCTAGCAGGTAACAGGTGCCCCAAACAGCATTCGTCGGCCTTGGCCAATGAGCACAGGGATGTGTTATAGAAGAATGGATGCTCCTTTCATGGGTGCATGGACAGAAGGGGAAAGAAGGGGGGAGGGGATCAGCGAGGAAAGAAGGAGGGGGGTCAGCAGGCAGCTGAGTCTGTGTTCTATCAACTGTTTTGTATTTCAGCATGTTTTATGTTTCTGAAAGCGGTGATCAGCAAAGAGGTTTGTTATATTTAGCTGTGAACACATTAAACAGGTAATGGTGACCTCTAATTCAAACCACGGTGTTGAAGTCAGCAGCCAGCCTGAGAGCCTTCTCATAACACTCAAGGCTTCACTCACTTCCCCTTTCAATTTGTGGATGAACCCAAGGATGCTCAAACTTTCCACCATACGTACATTCTGTTGAACCCATCTTTTAGCCAGCTTCTCTAAGGCAGCGAGAATCTTTTCCCTGTTGTGGGAGGCTCTTTTGATTTTGAGACCTTCTAAATAATGGGTGATTGCTTTATCTACAGATATCTTGTAAACTTCTTGGAAATGGCCATAGCAGTAATGAATCCTTTGCTGTAGATGATCATTGATGTTCTTCATGCACAGCACTTTCTGAAAAGTGTCCTCAGCCTTTGTGTATTGGCCTAATTCTGCATACATGTCAGCCAGTACATCATAAACCAACTCAAATGTGGGCCTTATCGTCAAAGCCTTTTGAAATTCATCTATAGCCGAGTGAATCAATCTGTGGACATTTTCTCTAACGTGTCCTCTGGGCTTCCAGTTGGCACCTCTCTTTATTTCGATCATTTGTGCCCTGTAGCAAAGCCCTATCTGGTAGTGCAGGAAGGCAGAGGAGGGGGTGGCCCGCAGGGCCATTTTTAAGAGCTGAAGAGCTTTGTCCAGAGAGCCTTTTCTTCGGTAAAACTTGGCGGCGTATCGGAAGACGTAGGTCTGCGAGGACGTGTTGGTCAGTGCTTCTTCAATGTGCTTTTCTCCTTCAGCTTCTTGGCCTATGTCCTGAAGCTTCAGGGCAAGGAGAGCCTTAATATATGCATCTTCTGGATTTAGCCTGATGGCCTTTTTCAGGGGCTGCAGACAGAATGCCTCACTAACCTGTGTTGCTTTGTTAAAGACGTCCAGGCGGTAGGTGGTGATCGCATACCCGGTGCTAAATTCAGGGTTTTCTGGGTCCACTGCCAGAGCCTTCTCAAAGCAGGCCTTGGCCCGTTCATAGCTCTTTTCTCCACATTTCAGCAAGGCCCATCCCTCCTCATAGTCCATCTGGGGACACTCCATCCTGTAGCGGGAGGGAGCCCCGAACTCCTTGCAGGTGTTCTCCACCTTGTTCAGGTAAGCCTGGGCTTCTTCGGGTCTGCCCATGTGGTAGTACAGCCAGGCGTAGTTGCCCCACGTGACCAGAAGTCTCACATCTGATTGGGTGGCACGTTCCTGCTGGATTAAGCCTTCAGCCTCCTGCAGGCTCCCCAGGGCTTCCTGGTTGTGGCCCGCCAGGTGCTTCACATAGGCCAGCAGGTTGTGGATCCCCACGTTGTATTTGGTGTCTAGGAAATCAGTCTCATCCAAGATCCTGTTTTCCAAATCAGACAGTTCGGTGTCTTCAACTAGCAACTTCCACGTAAAGTGACATCTCAGTTGAACCAGGCTCTCTTTGAGGGGATTCCCATTTGATTTGTCACTGAAAAAATAGACAACAATTATTTGTAATTTTAGGAGCGTTCCTTCTAATGGAAATGAAGCCAGCACTTTGAATAGTCACATTCTACCCCACAGTGCTCTTGTCTTCCCAATATGTGTTGCCTCTCTGGCTTCTGTGGTCATTGACATAAAAACCCTGAGGAAATGCTCATCACTTCATGGCACCACCAGGTAGGTTATGTGTTCTCTAGAAGGCAACTCGAGAGATATTAATTCTGCTAATGTCAAAATCGTTTTAGCCCTACCCTCCACACTACAAAACCCTTCTCTCCCTCTGTGCCCTCTCAACACTGCGGTACCTCCCTAGTGCTGTCAGAAGAAAACTGGAGACAGCTTCCCCTTGTGTTTGGCCTTTTTTGGACCCCGCTGGAGGGCATTCCTATTTTTGTCTGTGTTCACACATGGTTATGGAGTGGCCTTGTTTTTGTCGTAATCTGTCATGGTGTCAGGGTGGCCTTGTCTGGTGCTGAGGTAATGTGAAGGTGCTATGGGAGGACACAGGTTCTTGCTGTGGGTTGCTGTCTAGCAACACCAGGGCCTAGCCTAGAGTGTCGGGCTGGCTCTCAGATGTCTGGGGCTCTTTCTTCTTTCTCTTCAGGCAACTTCTACATTATTGCTTCAGCACACAGAGTGGTGTCCTGACACTTCTTATGTTGAAGGTTATATAGACAAGAAGGATTAACCAGAAAAGGAATATCAAACAGGAAATGTATCTATTTTATGCATTCCAATATAAAGAATTTTTTAGGAAAAGTGTGTGCTTGAGAAGGAATGTAGTACAAGATCTCTCTCTGGATGAGTTAAAGACATCTTTCTATCTCTCATCCAAGGAGGGACTTAGGCAAGTTGCAGTAGACCACATCTGCCCGTTGCATTGTTCCCAGAACAATGTACTGGCCTTCTTAACATCTTAGAAGCACAGGAGATGGCTTAGAGCTACGTGTTCTTCCCCAGCGCAACACATCTCAAGACGGCCCACAGATAGAGAATCCCAATCCCACTCTCGAAGTATACTCTAATGATAGAAGTAGCAGTAAAACTCTGTAAGCAAAATGGGAGCATGGAAATGGAGAGTGGAGTACCCAGGGGGGCAGAAGGAGGGGAACCAGGACCAAGACGGCCCACTGGGGGAGCAGAAGTTCACTTAAAGGGATGAGTGGCTTTCAGCCAAACATTGTGTTACGTGGAGGGAGAAATGCAGGGGCATTTGAAAGCATGTCCGAGACCTGTCACTTGACAGAATCACCTGATGGCGGGGAATTCTCCAGACATATACCGTCTCCCCTACTTTAGGGCTGTGTGCTCCGACTGCGAGAGGTTGAAGCTCCATCATGGAATAATTTTTATTCTAGATATGGGGCCAACGGGACATTTTTTTTTTCCCTCTGAGATCGCCTTCACTCCTCCCCGGCTTGGGCACAATGAGAAATAGTAAGACATTTTGCCTTCATTTGCTTTTGTGCACACAGACCAATGGTGCTCGGTGGCGAAGGCTATCTGGAATCAGTGTCTGGGTTCAGTGCTGGACTTGACCACTGTTGGCCATGTGATCACGGGCTAGTTGGTCCACCCTCCTAAGCTCTAATTCCTTACCTATAAAATCAGGAGAGTACTAGATCTTTCCTCACGGGTTGTGGTGAGACAAAATTCAATACACATGGCAAGCGTGTCTCACTGAAGAGCATTCAGCAATTAGGGGCGTTGCTTTCATGATGTGTCCCAAGTCGCTCCATCTGGGCAGTGGGCAGTCTACACTGGCCTCCAGCTAGAGCCCTTTCCCATCTGGAGCATACAGAGCCATAACTCCACAGCATTTGGAGAATGCTGCCATATTTCTGACTGTGCAGTTACTGAGACAGGGTGCTGTGCTGTGAGCTTCAGGCCAGAGCAGTCTGGGTCTTCCGACCTTAGGACCCAAGTCAGGGAGCCCCAGGCGCGCCCACACACAGAACCTGGCAAAGCCTCGGGGGCAGTAGGCATCCAGCCTTTCCCTGGGAAGGGCTGACCTGTGTGGGGGAGAAGAGATTTTTGGAAGGGGGATCACTCCGTTTCAGCTCTTTCCTTCTACTTCTGTATCAGAAGGGAGGTTTCTAGCAGGCCAGTTGAGTTTTACTTTCTGTAAGTCGCCAGCCCTAAACCAAATCTGAAAGAAGGGCGTGGAAATGTAAGCTGGTACTGACATGAAGTTTAGAAGGGCTATTTGTACTGACAGCTGGGTGGCTCTGGAATTTTTGTGCATAAAATTATTATGCATAAACATTTTTTACTGAAGTATAGCTGACATGCAATATTGTATTAGTTTCAGCTGTAAAACATAGTCATTTGACATTTATATATATTTTGAAGTAATCACCCATGATTAGTCTAGTGTCCACTTGTCACCATACAGAGCTGTTAAAATATTATTGACTCTATTTCCTATGCTGTACTTCACATCCCTTGACTTATCTGTTGTATAACTGGAAGTCTGTGCCCCTTAGTCCCCTTCACCTATTGACATCTAGTGACAACATGTCAGAAAGACAGAGGAAGTGTTTATGTGTCCCATGATTGCTATGATTCCGGCAGTAGTCCTGGTTCTGTGGGGCTCTGGCTCAGCTGATCAGGTTTACAGAATCTTGCCCACTGTCTCCTTGGGAAAAACAGACCCACGAGCTACAGGGGACAGAGCAGCATCAGGGAGAGAAGAAAGAGCCAATCAAGTGTGTGAGTGTGTTTACGTGTGTGCGCGTGCGTATGTGCGCCGATGTATATTCACAAATTAAAAAGAGCAATGGAAGGGCACCTGGGTGGCTCAGTCAGTTAAGCATCTGCCTTCAGCTCAGGTCATGATCCTGGGGTCCTGGGATGGAGCCCTGCATCGGGCTCCCTGCTCAGTGGGGCATCTGCTTCTCCCTCTGCCCTTCACTCTGCTTGTGCTGTCTCTCTCTCTCTCTTGCTCTTGCTCTCTCTCTCAAATAAATAAATAAAATCTTTTAAAAATCTATAAATAAACTTTACCAGTTGCTTCATCAGTTAAATAAAAGGGTTAGCCTTGGACAGTGGTTTGCAGCCCTGGCTGCACAATGGAAAGTTCCCTGGGAATCTTTGAAAAATAAAAACGAGTCCTGACACCTGAGCTGATCTCTAGTCCAACGAATCAGAATCTCTGAGAGGGAGGCCCAGGCATCAGAATTATCACTGATTGATGATTCATTCATTAAGGAAGGAAGGGAGGAACTCCAAGGTAATTGTGTTGTTCAATAATTGTCGCTAAAAACCGAGCTAGACTTTGGCTTCTCAGTGTGGTCTGTGGACCAGCAGCATCAGCATCAACTGAAGCTTAGGAAGTCCAGAATCTCAGGGCCCTCCACAGACCTACTATATTAGAGTCTTCCTAATGTCCATGTGATTTGTTGGTATGTTAAAGTTTGAGAAGTACTTTCTTAGATAATCCCTAGGTCCTTTTCGGGCGGGAGCGCTATGGAAGAGTGGTCAGGAGCTCACTGCCATTACCTACCTGTCTTTCTATGGAAGAGGGGTCAGGAGCTCACTGCCAGTACCTACCTGTCTTTCTATGGAAGAGGGGTCAGGAGCTCACTGCCAGTACCTACCTGTCTTTCTATGGAAGAGGGGTCAGCAGCTCACTGCCAGTACCTACCTGTCTTTCTATGAGGCTCCGAGTCAATAACTAACTTCATTCCCCTGTGCCTTGGTGTCTCCACGTGCACCTTAATAATTCACACAATATGCTAAAGCAATGTAGGTCAAAGTGCTTTGACCTCTAAACACCTTTGACCTCTGGAGGTCAAAGCCTGTAGGTCAAACCCTGGAGATTACTCACTTTGGCAAATACATGCCATCACATCCATAAGAGAAAATACTCAGCCACCATGAACTACTCTTTTCTGAAAGTTACACTAATTTTCATACCATGTGAGGGGTTTTAATGGCTGTGTTTGAGCTACCATAAATTAGATTTCCGGCTGACTCCCTTGTGTTGTAGTTATGATTGGATTTTTGTGTCTTTATTTTTACTTGTCAGTTATTCATTTGCTTGGCATCGTCGATGTACATTTTCAGGCACATTTACAATCTTGAACTAGGCTCAAGGTCTTGCGTAGCATGCTCTTATAATATCTGTGAGATAGGTTATCAGGATCTAGGAGGCTAACAGTTTTAGACTTGTCTGAAGTATCTTGGGGGGGGACTTGGAGGGGTTCCGTGTCTACTAAGAGAAATGAGAAGAGGTGAAGCTATTTTCCAGTTGCAGTTGAAATTTAGAAATCTAAACTGGGCTGCAAAGCACAAGTTCCACTACTCATGTCATTTCCAGGCTCTGGGAAGCCCATAGGTGTTTACGGAGCCTGTGGTTAACAGGTTGTTGGCATGTCCAAAGCAGCCTTCACTGCCATGAGCTCCTTATACATTTCAAAAGTCTTCAAACCACGAGTGACCATTAGTTACATGTCTGTTGGGACATGGATATGACCTGTTTCCTCTTCTCGGGTGACTTGCCATTTGGTGGAGAGACAGATTCATAAGCATTTAATTGTAAAAAGAGCAGTCGACGTTGGTTGCTTTGTAATCACAGAGGAAGGGTTCTTTCTTCCTGAAAAACCTTCTTGGGTTAACTCTTAATCTTTCAATTGAACTGTTTTGCAGAAGCATAGTCCCCTGACTCCCTACGCAAAGAAGACTTCCGAGAATGTGTGCTGTGACCACACCTGGCTCTGGAGGGGGGTGTTTTGAGGCTTAGCTGGCTGCCCACGCTAAGGCTTCCAGAAGGCTCTAGCGTGGGACCGCCAAACCAACACTTGTATCTCAAGTCATAGAAAACCTGCAGAAGCAGATACGAGGAACATGTGACCGTGAAAGTGCCAGCTGACCACCAGATTGGTGTTCTGGAAATGGGACATTTTGTATGACAGGTGCCCCAATATGTGGTTAACATCCTTAGTGTCCAGCCAGGCATGTGTTTGTTTCAGGTGTCTTGGCACTGGCCCTCACCAAAGGTCATCAATTGTTCGAGGGTCTTTGGGTCAGATCTAGCCCCTCACTGTTCCTAGGACAGGCAAAATACCACCTGGGGATTGGACTCACAGAAGCAGAGGTGCAGGGCTGGATTATACCCATCTCCTCTCAGTGAACTGGCTGATCAGGCACCACTGTTGGTGCCAAAATTGGAAGCGATCAAGACTCAACAGGTGAGGGGGTAAACAAACTTTTGTGGTACATTCGCACAACGGGATACTGTGCAGCAGTTAAAATGGATGCACTATCAAGCTACAAAGAGGACATGAAGGAACATTAAATGCACACTGCTCTGTGAAAGAAGCATCCTAAAAAGGCTGTATATCCTGTGTGAATCCAACTTCGTGCCATTCTGGAAAAAGCGGAACTATCGGAAGGGTAAAGATCAGTGCTTGCCAGGGCTTTAGGAGAAGTGGTATAGTTGGGACACAGGGCATTTTTAGGGCGATGAAACTGTTATGATGATAAAGTAATGGTAGATACACAATGTTGTGTTCAATACAAGGAACCCTAATGTAAACCATGGACTCTAGTTAGGAGTAATGTATCAATATTGGTTTTTTTAGTTGGAGCTAATATACACACGAATGCATGTTCATAATAGGGGAATCTGGAGGAGGGGTGAGGGTGTGGAGGAGGGAAGTATATTAGAAGTCTGTACTTCCGGTGCATTTTCCCATATGTCTAAAAGTGCTCTAAAAATTGAGTTTATAAAGTGGGGGAAAAAAAAGACTTGCAATAAGGGAAAGTGATTATGGCAATTGGGAGACAATTCTGGTCTTAAGATCTGCAAATATCTGAAAGATTAGTCAAAAGAGGGCTTTTCCTTTATGTAGAGGTATAAACAAGGCTGGAAACAAGGTGTTGGAGGGGAGGGGAGAGGGTGGCAAGATCAGGAAATCTTTCCTTGTTGTCAGCCAAGCTTGGAAAGGGATTGTTTGGCCTTCCAATACTTGTTAAACTTCAGGGGGGAGTCAAATTTCAGGCTCTCGTGGGGAAAGAGAGAAATTTGGCCAAGTTAAATTTACAGGCATTTTGTTCTGGCTGATCATGGAGACAAATAATTCAGATGATCATTTATGAGACACAGAACGGGAATCTGGAGGGTCTGGGTCTGGCCTCATCAGAGGAAAACGTGGGGCCCATGGCGAATTTTATCTAAGTAATACGGGAGAGGGTGTTTCTTCATGGTTTAACGAAAAACCACAAGAGAAGTTGAACTGGACAAGTTTATCCCTCACAGGTCCTGAACCCACATGATGGGGAGGTGAAGGCCGACCACAGGCAGAGAGAGAGAGAGAGTCATGGCGGGAGGCCTTTATCGTGGGCCATGAGTGAAATGCTTTGGGGCTCTGGGCCAAGGGCTGGATTGGTCCCTTCAAACCAAAAAGAGTGGGGTTTTGGTAAGCTCCACAGGGGCTTATCCAAGGGGAGGGGGACAGAAGGGGAAGACCCTCGGAGGCGGGGGAGATTGCTGCTCAGGTGGGCTGCTGGGGAAATCATATCAGGAACCTACATTTGCTCGTAATTCTGCAGGCCATTATCAAGGGTGTGCACTTGCCCATGAACGCTAATGTTAGTTCAAGACGCCCCTCAGGCTGCTTGGCGAAACAAAACGGATACTGAGGCTGCAATCCCCTGGAGTAGCTTAGCTTAACTCTTCACATTCTCAGACACCAGAGTTGGGGGGTGGGCAGAGTTTTTGACCATAGCATTTGTCCAGTAGCACAGGGCTCAGGTAAAGTTCAACGTGTCAACATCATTCCAGATTGTCAGGTGCTTGGTGCTGCCGCTGCAGCATCCCAGTTCAATTACCTCTGGCCTCTCTGGGCTCCACGTGTTCATGGAGACAGGAGACCCCGCACTAGACTATGAAGCCTTAGAAAAATTCAATGAGGGGCGCCTGGGTGGCTCAGTAGGGTGAGCATCTGATTTCGCTCAGGTCATGATCTCAGGGCCCCTGTGTTGCATCTGGCTCCGTGCTCAGCAGGGAGTCTGCTTGTCTCTCTGCCTCCCACCCCCCGCCCCAGGCTTATGCACTCTCTCTCTCAAATAAATAAACAAAATCTTAAAAAAGAAAAAAAGAAAGAAAAGGAAAATCCATTGACATTATGATGTCAGCAAATTCATTCTGCCAGGTTTGAGTACCAGCTGAAGGGGATTAGGTCTGCCAGTGACTTACCAACACTGCATGAGGGTCTATAAGCCTCGATCATCTTGCACCTCTGGAAGCCACGTCTTCCTTATGAACTCCTGCGTGTACGTATGTAATTTAAACTATTTTTTCTCTTGTTCACCTGGCTCTGATCAGTTGGATTCATGGGCCCAGTCACTGAATGTAGGAGGTTAGAGGGAGAAAGATTTTTGCTTCCCTGCACTATATAAGTTCTACTTCCATTCACCCCTTTGAGTGACGCATCCCTGAGCTCCGCCATGTGTATGGGTGGATGTCCCAGTTAATAAAGAGCTGTTTTTCTCTTGCCAATCTTTCTTTTGTCAGCCTAATTGGCAGGGCCCCTGCTGGACAACCTGGGAGTGTAGGTGAAAAAGATTTGTTTTCCTCCCTTACACTATCGTAAAACTTAACGGCGATTCTGCCGGCATGCTGAGTATGAGTCCTTTTAGCATATTGGCGAACCTCAGGGGGGTCGTGGGTCCCCTCACTCCGTGCTTGAAGGACCCTCACTCACCAAAACACAGTGAAAGCACTGTTTGGGAAAAGGAAGGCTAAAGGGGTAGGTACCTGTGGTACACGAACACCAATGGGTTGAACTGCAGGAAAGGGTTAACACATCAGGCCTTCGACTACGATCCTTAGAAAGGCCTGCTTGCAAGGTTTGCCCTTGGCTGGCATCTGGGAACTGGGATTTTGGGAATGTTCCCCCCATTCCCTAACCGATTAGTTTGGTTTACCGTGCCCACGATGTTTGTGCGAACCATGTGGTTAATGCTGACAACCTGCTTTCCTCCTGGGAGTCTGGAATTTTGATATGTGCTAATAAGCAAGGGGTGCCCGTGTGACGAGTCTCCAATAAAACCCTTGGGCACTGAGGCTCCAACTAGCTTCAGATGTGTGGTCACATTCGATGCTGGAGGAATTAAGCACATCCTGTAGGATTCTACTGGGACAGAACTCTGGGGAATTTGTGCCTCGGTTTCTCTCGCCTTCACCCCATGCACTCTTACCCTGTGCTGAGTTTGCTGTTGTTGTAATAAGTCTAATGCTTGAGCAGGATGGTAGGTTGAGTCCTGTGAGTTCTTCTAGTGAATCACCAGACCCAGGGGATGTCTTAGGGACCCCCCAATGCCAACTTCCTGGGATTCTCATTGGAAAACACAATGTAGCAGCCTATTAGGGAATGGTAACTCTATCCAGTAGAGCAAAGGAGAGAGAAGACAGGCCACGACTTGCTGAGTGTGGCTCTCTCCACCCTTCCCAGTTTCCTATGACAATGAATCGAAAATGAACTGCAGGGCGCCTGGGTGGCTCAGTTGGTTCGGCAACTGCCTTCGGCTCAGGTCATGATCCTGGAGTCCTGGGATCGAGTCCCACATCGGGCTCCCTGCTCAGCGGGGAGTCTGCTTCTCCCTCTGACCCTCCCCCCTCTCATGTGCTCTCTCTCTCTCTCTCTCATTCTCACTTTCTCAAATAAATAAATAAATAAAATCTAAAAAAAAAAATGAACTGCAGAGGAAAAAAAGTCTGAGGCTAGTATACACTGAGAGTTTAAGAGATCTTTGCTGTCCGGGCCTGACTTTTAAAAAATGGAGCTCCCCGTGTCAGCTGCTGGTGGTTCTGGAGGGGCTGTTTCAGCCCTGCACGGACATAATTCTAAATTTCTTTGCATGTAGCTTGAGGAGCATTACCACTCTCACTGTGAATTTGCTGTATCAGGATGCATTTAAAAACCTGACACTAGATTGCAAAACACAGAGGGAGGGAGGAGTAAGTTGGAAAGCCAGAATGCTCAGGAATCACACCCGGGAGTCAATGTGAGGGAGGGGGGTTTGGATTCAATGGAGAAAATGACAGGAAAAGATTCTAGTAGAAATCCACAAATCGGGGCTCTGAGCTGCCCTTGCAGTACACCCTGAAAGCTCTTGGCTTGTGCCAACAAAATCATAGCACATCAGAATGCACAGAAATGCATGGGAGCAGGGTGGTTTGATTTCATACAGTTATGGGCTTGAGTGCCAGTCACACCCCTCCCTAGCTGTGCACCCTCGGACAAGTTAGCAAACCTTTCTGAGCCTCGTACCTTCCACACGGGTTTTTAGATGCTAGCAATGCGCTTAGCACAGATCCTAGTTCAGAGGCCAGCACATAAACGTGCTATTGTTTTATTGTTACTGTTTTGTAGCTTGGGACACTTACTGTTTCATCTTCCCAGCACCCTCTCCTAGGATTCAGAGAAGTTGTCTTGGAAGATGTGACTCTGAGCTGGTGATAATGGCAGTGTCAAATTCTCAGGGGAGACAGTGTGTTCCTATATTTCTCAAAAGTTTTTGAGAGCCTCATTCATTCCAGGCACTATGGGGATGGGCATACAGTTGAGAGCAGAGGAGTTAGAGTCCCTGCTTCTCTGGAGCTGGTAAGCTTGAGGGGAGGACTCCATGGTTTCCACTGGGGAGACTGATCCCCCCACCCCCCACTCCTCCAATTGTCTGTTTTGTGGACAGCCCTGGAATCTGCTGGGACATGCTGTGTGACCACCAGCCGAGCCTGCCTCACAGCCTAGGTGGTAAAATGGCATCGGTCTCGGAGCTCTAAGTCCCCACCAGGTTACTAGTTGGGTAAGGTTGGGTATGGCCCCAGGGAATAAGGAGGAGTGGATGTCTGTGAAAACTGGCAATTTATGTTACTGCCCTCTGGGTCTCCGGAGGCAGAATTGTGCGAGGTCAGGGTCACACATCAGGAAGTGCAGATTGAGGGTATTCCCTCAGACAATGGTAGATTGTAGATGCAGAGGCATCTTTTCAATAAAATTGTCTGGGCAGCAAAATAAATCACAGCATATGTGTGTAGATCAGGACCAGTCAACAGCAATTCTGGGAGCCTCAACCCCGTCTGGAAGGTGGATGGGACTCTGAGCATGGAGGGACAGCCTGGGTGGTGTCCAGGATCCTTCTGGGAATCATCTATGTGTAATTCCTGGGGATGGAACCAGGTACCCCTGTTGGGGAAACCTCCAATCTTCCTGATCACCACTCTACTATTTAAAATCTGTGTCCTTGAGCACATGTGTTTGCATATGGTAGGCCGTTCCTCACCTACACTGCCCCTCCAGCTGTCGCTGTAGCCAGTCCCCACCTTGCCCCCAACCCCACGCCCTTCCATGCTCTCAGTGTTGGTGTCATATATTCATATTCCATGGACCCAGCAACTGCCCTGGAACTGGACACAAGAGACGGTGCTGCTGTAGGTCAAGGCTGGCCAGGAGTCAGCAACTGACTGCCGGGCACTCGGCTGCTCCCCCAGCCTTGCGGGAGCCAACAGATAATTCAGGGCTGGGGGGGCACCCTCACCAAAGTCTGCTGCTTTTATAGCCAATGTAGCTTATGAAGCACCTTCCCAGAATTCCCCTTCTGCATGAGGAAAGAGTCAAGTTTCTGACCCTCTACTCACAAAGGAATGGGGAATGCCAGGCCCTCTGTTTTGCCTGGGAACTGGCATATAACAGTCTTCCTCTGTACACAGACAATCAGATGATACCACTAGGAGAGCATACGAACGCAGGCCTTGCAGTGGGGTGAGGAGAGGTGGACAGTTGCTGCATGGTGGACGACACTGTGGGTTTCCCCAGCGGGGAGGTGAATACTTGAATATTTTCATTCGCTCAGGAGGGTGAAGATCTTTGTCTCCAGCCAGCCTCGTACTGGTGCCCCCTACACACGGTCGGGGAGGCCACTGCCCAGGTACTTCTGGGTGCACAGCCGTCCTGCTCAGTAGCAGCAGCTGCTGACTGGGCCCTGGGCTCAGCCGAGGCCCTGGCCTGGAACAGAAGTCAAGGGCAGGCCGGCTCCACCACGGAGCTACCATGGGCACACTGAGAATGGTACGGTACGGCTGTATCATTACCCACTGTCCCTAGACAGTGTCCCGAAGAGAAACTTGGGGAATGAGTATAACCGTTAGTCACACATGCAAACCACACACTTTCTCCAATCCTGAGTCGCAATTTTAAAATTTATTGTAGCATCACTATCCAGAACACATATTTACTGGAGTGTCGCAATCGAGAATATATATAAACACATGGCTGAAGTCAAGAGGAAGACATAAGGAGTATTCCGGGGTTAGTCCAAAGGTGGTCTTTCAGGGGCTCCAGAAGGCTAGATAGCAAAGGGGCACAGTCTGGGAGAGCTGTTGGCAGGCAGTGGCCAGCTAAGAGTCTCAGTAAGAAGGACAGAGATGGGGGAGATCTGAGGAACGGAGGGCAAACTAAGGATGAGTCAGCGTCGCGCAGGCCTGAAGCCCTGTGTCCATGGGTAATTTTGTTGTAAGGCCCACAGGCTAGAGGGGTGTGCACGGCTGGGATGGAAAGGGGAGACAGACATGAGGAAGCAACGCTACAAAAATGTACCCTAAAGCAGTCCCGGGGTGTCACGGGTTCCCTGACTGTGTTCCCATCCCTCCTCTGCGTTTCCGCTCAGGGTTCCGGGAACTCTGGGAGTGGGGATGTGCGGGCCCCGGCCCACTGCCTCACCGCCTTCTTCAAGCTCAGCCAGCGGCAGGAGAAGTCTGCCTATGCCTGTGGGGCTGTTCCTTAGGAGGTAGCCCAGCTCCTTCTCGTAACATTCGATTGCCTGCTGCAGCTCGTCATTCATCTTGTGGATTAATCCTTGGAGATACCAAGAATTCGGTGCATTTTGTGGAAGCTGATTTCCAGCGGTGTTCTGTGGTGGGTATTCCGTCTTTCCTTCCTCCGTTGCTTTTGTGCCTGTGGGCAAACCCTCCAAATCACACTGGGTAGCAGTGTCTTCAGACTTCCCGTGACGCCCCTGAAAGTCGCGATAGTGCTGGCGGGGTTGTTGCCTCTGAGTGCCGGGGAGCTCCTTACTGCAAGCTATCTGATAATAGTCTTCTGTTTCCAGGAGCGCGTCAGAATATGCATACAGCGGATCTACTCCCTTCTCAATAGCTTTAATCACATAGTCAACAGCACACTGCTTTAGTTCTCCAATTTTCTCTCCATTCCTACTAGCTTCAGATTCTCCTGTATTCTGAATTTGTTTGACTTTGGCCCTATAGCAGCATGCAATCTGGTGATAGAGGTAACCATTGTTTGGAATGAATTTCAATGCCCTTAGAAACAGTTCAATAGCTTTGTCTAGATCACCTTTTTTTTGATAAAATGTGGCTGCATTGCGAAGGACATCTGTTTGGCAAGGCGTGTTCTCCAGGGCTTCCAGAACCAACCGCTCCCCGTCAGCTTCTTCATTCATCGCCTGCAATTTCATGGCCAAGAGCACTTTGACGTATTGATTGTCGGGATTCAGCTCAAGGGCCTGCTTCAGAGCATCCATGGAGAATGGCTTCTGTGGTTTATTATCCAGACGGTATGTCGCGATGGCCAGCCCAGAAGAGAATTCTGGGTTGTTGGGCTTCTCCGCCAGAGCTTTCTCAAAACACACCTTGGCCCTTTCATTGTGCTTTGCCCCACACTTGAGCCGTGTCCACCCTTCTTCGCAGTCAAGTTCGGGACACTCGATACTGTATGGGTTTGAAAACTTCTCGCAGGTTCGTCTCACCTTATCAACGTACATCCGAGCATCTGCGTGTCTGCCCAGGTGATAGTAGACCCAGGCGTAGTTACCCCAGGTGACCAGACTTCGGGTTTCCACTTGATCCGAGTGTTCCCGCTGGATCAGCTCCTCCGCCTGGCGCAGGCACTCCAGCGCCGCCTCGCTGTGGCCATTCAGGTGTTTTATGTAGGCCAAGAAATTGTACATTGTAGCTTTGGACTCAGTGTTTAAGAATTCAATCTGGTGACACACTGTATCTTCTAGATCACCTGAGACGCTGTCTTTCTTAAGTAAGTTCCATGTGAAATGACATTTCAGCTGTGGAAGGATTTTCTCCAGAGAATCCTTGTTGGCCTCACTGTGGAGAAAATAAACACGGTCACTGTGATGGCACGCCTGCTAGGCATTGCACCTGGGACGCAGTTACAGGTTGATTTTGTGTGTCAGCTTGCCAGGCTGTGGGATCCCCGATGTCTGTTAAACATTAGTTCTGGGTGGGGGGAGGGGGTGTGACGGTGTCCCCAGGAGAGATTAGCAGCTGACTCAGTGGACTGAGTGAGAGCAGACTGCCCTCCCCAGTGTGGATGGGCCTCACCGCGTCTGCTGAGGGCCTGAGTAGAACGCAAAGGCAGAGGAAGTGTGAATTCCGTCTGTCTGGCTGTGTGAGCTGGACATTGGTCTTCTCCTCTCCTTAGACTGGAGCTTATACCGTCGGCATTCCTGGTTCTCAGGCCTTCAGACTTGGACGGGAGCCCTACGGCATTATCCCTCCAGTTCTCGGGCCTCTGGACTCCGACTAGAATTACACTGTTGGCTCTCTCTTGGGTCTGTAGCTTGTGGACAGCAGGCCACGATTATGGTCCTCGGCTTCCATAATCATGTGAGCCAATTCCTGATAATAAATCTCTCTCTTTTTCATTTTGTGTGTGTATACACACACACACACATATATTTTTTAAACCAGCGGCAGGTGAGAATCTTTATTTTAATCTTTATCTTATTGGAAAGCAGAGAAAATGTAGGTAAAAATCAGTATGTTTAGAAACTGTTGTAGAATAAAAAAGAGGGTTAAAATTCTCAGTGAGGAAAACCAAAAACTATGTCCAATTGTATAAAGGCCTTTCCCTTGCAAGAAATGGGAATAAAGCTGTGAAGATCCAGTTTGGTTTTGCTGTTGACTGATACACAAGGTCCCAGAAAACCCAGTTGAGGTCGACCCTTGTGAGTCCACTATTTGTACCCGCCCGCTTTTGATCTGAGCAAAGTTGCTGGCGCCAGTGCAAGGCCGAGCTGATGAGAGGACAGCCAAGAGTGCTCCATCCTGGAGTCCATCCTGTCTTAACCTTCAAGTAGAAGCTGAGGACAAAGCCCTTAGTGAAGCCCGAGCTCTGGAGTTGGCTGACTGAATTTCCTCTATTATGGTGCTCAGAATCATCTGCTTCTTGGCCAGCAAACACAGGGAAGAGCCTAAAACAACTACCTTTAGCAAATGCTTGCTACCTCTCCGGAGCCTTGGTGGGTGGGGCCTGACATCACCCAGCAGCTGAAATGTACTTATATGTGTGTCCTACTAGTTCTCTTTCTCTGGAGAGCCCTGACTAACCCACACCCTAAGTTTTTCTAGACAGAAGAAGAGGTACCCTTCCTCTGGCTTCCTAACTTTGCCTCCTGTAGTTATGGTCTATGCAAGAATCCACAGAGCACGTGCCTTCCACTGCCCCATGCAAGGCAACGTGGAGTGAGGTGGATGGGAGGAGAGGAACTGGGATCTCTCGTCCTGCTCCATTAGAAGTCAGGGCTCAGGCCTCGCATTCTGGGCAAGGTTGATGCAGCCATCCAACGTCCCTTTACAGGGCCACTGCTTTGCATCACTTGGTTAGTTTTGAAGCATCCTAAGATGAATAAAGTTTAGTTATCCTGGCCCTCTCTGGCCTGGGAGCTCCCAGACTGGTTAGAAGGAGCCATGTAAAGAAACGAAAGCCCAGGGCTGTTTGCCATCATGCTGTGAGACTGGATCTTTCCCTTTAGCTTCTCCACCCTTCTCCACCCTCTCACCATGGTCACACACACAGACACCTGGAAGCTCACTGTCAGTCTCACCGAGGCAGAGTCCCTGACACAGGCCAGTTCCCCAGACAGAAAGAATGTATTTTGAGAAACAAACAAAATTGACAAATTTGAGCTTTGCAGTTGGAAGGTACCAAGGGAGATCATTTGCCTTATTCAGTTCAATAAGTTCCTGAGTTCTCAAAGTGTGTTCTCACATGGGTATTTGCCTGGGGCTTGGGGGGTGTTTTACTGAGTTTGTGTTCCTTCTTTCTTACCAATAGATTCCATGGGCTTGGAAAGAACCTACAGAAATCATGAAACCCAGTTATTGTCCGTAGTTTCAGATTTCACGGACTAGCACAATATCAGAAAAAAGTTAGGAGCCAGAGAGGGTTGCCAACTCACTGTGGAGAAAACGTATCCCCAAAGACATTAACTACCTATGCTTACCAACGCTGTATTAAAACAAAGAGAAAAAGAGAAGCATTTTTATCATTACTGAAGAAGGAAGAAAAATAAGATCAGAATAAAGGGAAGTCCTTTAACTAGTCAAAATACATTTTGCTCACTGACTTTATTCGCAGTTTCCCATGGAACCAGCACCGGCCCGCACACACTGCTGCAAGCACTCTAGCTTCTTCTGTCTCTCCAGCAATGTCTAGCTAAGCCATTGCTGATCCAGTGTGATTGCATCTGAAACACCTTATAGTGAGAGTCACAGAGGCGAGGGAATGGACCCAAGGCAAGAGAAGAGGGGGAGGTTGCTGTCTATCTAGATATCCTTTTATGGGTGGGCCTCTATTCTTAGAAGTCTTTTCCATTCTCTTGGTCCCTGGCTAGAGCACCACAATGCCAATGTCTTTTGTCTCCATTCTAGGGTTTTCCAATTTGGCTTCATCTGGTGGTGATTCTAGCTGCCCTGTTTGAAGGACTGCAGATCGTAACTCAGGGGAGCAGTTATTAGAAAATAAATACTAAGGGCAAGTTACAAAGATGATCACTGAACAAATATGTTTGTAACTGTTATGCAATCAAGGCATGACAAAGGCATTTCCGTGTTTCAACGTTAGTTAACTGTGCTGATTGACCAATTAGGGCATTTTGAGAGAGGCAGGCAGGGATGAGTTTCAGATCAGTGGAATGTATCTGTAGGTAGAGGTGCCTGGAAATAATAGGCGAACACTCTTAAGGATTGATAGAGAGTATTCATCTAACTTCTCAGGGAGCCTAGAGAAGGGCAGGTGACTTTGGATGTTTTTGCTACAACAAAACCAGGAACCACCTTGCCAGTTTGATAACACTATCTTTTTTTTTTTTTTCCCCCTGGGGTGGTGATGCATGCTGACATATCAGTAAACCAGAGGGATCTTACCATACTACATTTTTAAAAAAAGATTTTATTTATTCATTTGAGAGAGAGAGAGAGAGCACAAGCAGGGGGAGAGGCAGAGGCAGAGGGAGAAGCAGACTCCCCACTGAACAGGGAGCCCAATGCAGGACTCCATCCCAGGACCCTGAGATCAGGACCTGAACTGAAAGCAGATGCTTAACCATCTGAGCCACCCAGGCGCCCCAGCAGACTATATTTTAAGCACTTATTGATAAAGATTCTCTCTCCAAGATAAAACATCTTCCAACCCTGTCATATATAAGCTCCAGGAGATGTCAATGGCTCATGAAGTGTAGGGCAAGCAGAAAAGCTCACTCTACGTTCCTGAACCCGTGAGAGAGCCCTGAGGATGGAACGCTTTGGGATATTTCATCCCTACCACGACTTCACCAATGTTAGAGCTGACCATGCTAGGACATTTACGGTAACAAAGGGCAGTTTATTCAGGAAGATAGCCAACTACTTAAGTGGAGGAGTAAAAAGGTATGCTTTCAAACTTAAGATATATACTTAAAATAATCTGTTATAACCATAAGATGTTTTATTTAAGCCTCATGGTAGCCACAAAGAAAAACCTGTCCTAAATACACAAAAAGGTAAAGAGAAAAGAATACAAGCATACCTCTACTATAGAGAAGCATGAAATCACAGATGAATAGAGCAAGGGAATAGGAAGGAAGCAAAAGGTTTATAAAACAGGCAGAAAACAAGGAACAACGTGGCCATAGTAAGTCTGTAACCGTCCAAAATTGCTTCACATATAAAGGAACTAAATTCTCCAATTGAAAGACATAGAAGGGCTGAACAGATGTAAAGAACACATGCTGCCTTCAGCTTTCAGGACACACACAGACCGAAAGTGAGGGCAGGCACAGATACTCCACGCAAACCAAAGAAAGCAGGGGTGGTTCTACTTATATTGGACAAAATAGACTTCAAGTCAAAGAGGGGAAAGAAAGTCATTATGTAATGACAAAGCAGTCAATCCAAGAATAGGATAGGATATTTAATAAATGTTTATGCACCCAACACACGAGCACTGAAATCTATAAAGCAAATATTAATAGACTGGAAGGGGGATGGACAGCAAGACAGTAGTAGGAAGGGACTTCTATACCCCCTTTCCACAGTGGATAGATCATCCAGGCAGAAAATGAATAAAGAAACATCGGACCTAACACTTTAGATCAGATGAACTTAGACGTTTACAGAACATTCCATCCAACAGCAGCAAAATACACTGTCCTCTGAAAGTGCACATGGGACATTCTCTAGGATAGATTATGTGTTAGGCCACAAAGCAAATCTTAAAATTTAAGAAGACTGAAGTCATATCAGGCATCTTGCCTTGTCTTTTTTTTAGATTTATTTATTTATTTATTTATTTTAGAGAAAGAGAGAGCATGCATGGGGAGGAGCAGAGGGAGAGGGAGAGAGAGAATCGCAAGCCGACTTCCCACTGAGCCCAGAGCCTGATGTGGAGCTCGATCCCACGACCCTAGGATCATGACCTGAGCCAAAACCCAGAGTCAGGCGCTCAACCAACTGAGCCACCCAGGCGCCCCTACTTATTGCCTTTTTAAAAACCAATACGCATTTGCCAAGGCTTCCTCACTTAACTAATTTAGCTGATATGTGTTTTTGAACGTTGCTCTAAATGCTCTTTATATGTATATGTGTGAAATTTATGAAATTACTGAGCAATATTGAATTCAGACATTGAACGGGGAAAAAAAGCAATCGGGTAGGATGACTGTGGCAGAAACTTAATAAAGAGAATGTCTAAGTTCAAGTGAAACATGGGGTGTTGGATGCCCTTCCTACCTGGAGATTCTAAATCTACGAGAAACCCTGGGGAGGTGGGCGTCCCTCTGGCCCAGGAAGAGACTTCTCAGGGCCTCCAGCTGCAGCCACGAGGTTTTGCTGAGCAAAGCAGATAAAACCGGTGGTGCTTGTCCTTAGAAAATACCCAGATTTAACCCACTGAAGCTCCTTCTTGCTTCTCTTCCCCACCTTCCTGGTTGGTGACAGTCTGTTGGCAGGACCCACGGACCCCAGCGTCAATGCCACTTCTCCTCCCAAGGCCTAGTCAAAGCCATCACTAGAGTAGAATCTTGAAATGTTCAGAAAGAGGCCCTTAACCTCATAATGATAAGAACAGGAACTTCCAGGGAATTTCTGAGGCAGCTTATCGCATGGGATGTGTGCAGGGACAGACAGACCTCATGCCCAATTAGTTGGTCAGAACAGGCACCACTCAGGGAGCCCATCACTTTAGAAAGTGAGCCCAAGAACTCTCCAGAGCAGTGCTGATCCCACTCTGATGTGCACAGGGACCAGATCACCCGAGGGCCTTGTGCAGATGCAGATCTGGATTCCATAGGGGTGGGATACTGCCTTTGTAACAACCTGCCAGGGGATGTCAGACTCAGACCACACTGCGAGTAAGAGTAGTAAGTCTCCAGGAAGATTTCCCCCTTTGGCCGAGATTTCCAATCACCAGTTTCTCATCCTCAAACACCCCTTCAATGGGTAAGCCTTGCTTTGTATCAGCGTCCTTCCCAGGCTACCCACTCCCCACCCACTCTGGGTGTCTTGCCCTTACACTTACGTACATGCCATGGGGTAGGCGAAGTACCTGTGGTCCTCTTTAAATACGTATTTTTTTTCTAGGCTTTGTTTCTGATCTACTCAATCTGGATTTCAGAATGCAGGGCCTGCTAGTGTGCATTCTAACAGAGCACCCAGCTCAGTTGGGATACCCGCCATCTGCTACCGTTTGAGATACTGCGACACTTTCTCCCTGTTCATCGTCAGCAGGGGAGGCCTGTAGATGATGTCAGGTCAGTAAGAGGAGGCCTCAGGTACATGCCGTCAGCTCAGAAGAATTTTTTTCTACTGTTCTAGGTTCTTTGGCTAGTCTAGTAATTAAATTGACATAAGACAGATGAGCAGGGGAGAAAAGATTCAATTTCATGTGTGCAGGAGCCCCATACAAGTCTAAGACCCAAAGGCAGTCAGGCAGCAGAGTCTCATGTACCATCTTCAGCTGAGGAGTGGCCGGGGGGCTGGGATTTCAAGGCGGTGGGGAGTCAGTCATTCCCAGGAAGATGAGTACAGAGGGCTGGTAATCAGCCTTTGCCCTGCTGTGCGTGCAAGTCTTTGAGATAAAAAGTTATTTCTGGGCAGGCCCCCTATCGAAATTCTGTCAGGCAGTGAAGGGAGAGGTAAAAGTTTTTCTGGAGCCTGCTGGGTCTCAATTGCCTTTGGCTCAAAATAACCCACAAGCCAAAGGGGCACATTTTGGACTGGTATTTCTTCCTCCCCTCCGACATAGTTTCTCAGTTCTGAAAGAGCAAACTTCCGGGGAAGGGCAGCCTCGTTATGAAATGGGGTTGTGCAATGCTGACTTAGTCAGCAGCACCTTTGCAGAGAAGTAAGCACACTTTTGAAATAACCACAACCACCACAACAAAACTCGCTGACTCAGTCTTTTCACCTAAGAAACAAAACAGGGGCCAGGACCTCCTGTAACTATGCTGCACCCCACCCCCTCCCAGCCCCTTTGACAGGATTTTGCCCGAAGGATCTCCCTCCGGGCTCTCTCAACAACTCCTGCTCCTTCCCACATGCCAGGTCCCCTGGGAGCACTTCCCTCAGGGTCTGTAAGTCAGAACTGGGCCACAGAAATAAACATGAGTGAACTGTTAAGATAGCTTTATGACCCAATGAGATAAACGTGTATTTAATCGATAAGCAAGCACTGAATCGGCATCATTCGGGAAGCTGCATGCAAGAACAAGGTTTGTGGGACATTCTCAACTTTCTGTCAGAAAAGTAGGGCAGATTTACCTCATGATGGCTATTTCTCTCAGGTCTGAAAAGCTGGGGTCCAGGCTGATTTTATTTTCTGCTCGTGGATCCGTAGCAGATGCTGAAGAGACTTCCACCCGGGGAAGCTAGCCCTGAGGTCTGTGCTTTTATCAAACAGGAAAGGATAATGAGCCTGATGTCATGCTATCTAGATCCGCTCCGAGGAGAAGCCGAAACTGAATGTGTCAGAGCTGAAGTCAGCGTCTGCTGGGAACAGGGTTCCACACCAACTGTTTGGGGATTTGGTAAGACGCATTGTGGATATAGGCCCAGGGCGTCTGTTGAAATGTGGGGGTGGGCTTGGGCTCAGGAATCTGCATTTGTACAAGCCTCCTGGGAATTCTGTACCTGCAGGAGCCCCTCCCTGTACCATATTTTGAGAAGCACTGTTCCAGAGGGATTTTGAAAAGCGGTTTCCCATGTACGTGTCAGAGATAATGTAGTGTATCAACCGGTGAGTCAGACAATCTAGAATAAAGGAACATGACCACAAGACACCTGGAATTGTTCTTTCTTTGCCCTGCTCTGGAATATTTCCTAAAATCCTGTCACTAAGCCTCATTTCCTTTCATTCAAATTGTCCCTGAATGAATTTACTTTTTCCTTCCATCCAAATTACAGGGAACTATGCCCCGGGGAGATCCCCTTTTCCTTCTTCTAAGGTGTGGCTCTGTGCATCGAAGGTGTGAGTTTCCCTCCAAGACGGCCGGCCTCAGTCTCCAAACAGGGCCACTGAGAGCGGAGTCCCTTCAGTCCCTGCCCCTTCTCTCTGACGGGAGCAGAACTGAAAGCATTAAGCCACTCCACCCTTTGGGCCTTTATACACAGTTACAAGATGCTCAGCACTGATGACCTGCTCTGACACTTAACTCCCTTAGGCAAGTAATTTGCCCTCGGAGCCTCATTTCGCTCATCTCGAAAACGAGGCTAATAAAAAAAATCACAGTTCTTCCTTCCTCGGGCTATTGGGAAGATGATCTGAACGTGGAAAGGACTTTAAACAGAGTAGGGCTACTGAGTGCTGACCACAGAGAAACTGTTACTGCCACGATTGCTGGCATATTCGTGTCATAGTTCTAAGTGCATTTTTCATGGGGCAGAGGAGGGTGTCCATCAGCCGGCCGGCCGGCAGGTGCTAGCACTTTCCCCGAGGTGCTTTTCCCCTTTGGCAGTTTTAAGCCCTGTTGTCGAGGAGCAGCCCAACCTGCCCCTGTCCCTACAGCCTCTGGGGACAGGGCAGCTTGATGTGGGCGTCAGTCCAGCAGAGTCCAGAGAGCCCCTACCCCCCAGACTTCCTCAGGTCAGGGGCTCCGGACACACCCAAGCACAGGCCACCGTAAAGCCGCTTGGGCAAACCCGCTAACACGGCGCTGGGCAGGGCCACATTTTCTGGGCAGCCCCACTCATGGAGACACATAGTTAGGAAAGCGTAACCCGAGGCACTTGGCAGTGACTTCCTCTTACCCAGCCCATCCCCAAATACCAGCCCCCTCAGAGCATTTGGGGGGGCTTTCTTTCCTCACTCCCTGAGTGGTCACTGGGATCCTCCCTCCCCATGGGTGTTTGAGGGCAACAGCTTCTTAGCTCTATCTGATGGCAGATCTTAAGCGTGTCCACGTGCATTTTAAAAAAACCAAATTTGCTAAGATTGTACTTTACATACAATAAAATTTTAAGTGTACAGTTTGATGAATTTTAACCAATGTATATACCCAAGCAACCACCACCATTATCTCCTCATAGACTCGATCCCATCCCCAGAGATTCCCCAGTGTGCCCCCTGGCCAGCGCCACCCCCCCTCCACCATCCCAGGCAACCACTGACCTGCTTTCCATCACTAGACATTACATCAGTATTAAAAAAGAGATTAGGTCACTCTGTTTTGAAGGGAGATTGCTTGCTGCTCCCCAGCTCTCATCACAGAAATAAAAATAAACCCTAAGCTTCTTGTTTTGTTTTCGTAAAAGATTTCTGGAAAAATGCCCATCTGTAATAATTGTTTCTTCAACTTCCCACCTTGGACTGATCAAACGTTTCAGGACAAAATTCCTCTCAGCAGGAGTTGCGTTTGCACTACCAGTTCCACCTATAATAATATCTGTTGAAAATAAATGCTTCCTTTTAAAATGGCAAGAAGGTTTTAACCTCTTAGTCTTTTCAAAGAAAACCACCACCAAAAGCCCATAACGAGTAATTCCCCCGAGGTCTAACTTTGAATCTGCAAACTGTGCCGGAGTGGGTCTAACACTCCTGCCAAGCCTTTCTGTCATCCGGGCTCCCAGCTAGGGGAGCAGTTCTGGAAGCTCCAGGAGCCTGAGTGTGTCCACTGGAAAAAGAAAAAAAAAACACAGAGAAAGTGCACGCTTCATCTGTGAGCAACCGGACCACACAGGACCCTGCGTGCACCCAGAAGCTCAGTTTACAATCTGCATCCAACATCTGACGCATTCCTCTGTCACTGACCTCATGTCTGCCCTCTGCTCATCTTCCATTCTGAAAAGCGGGGCTCCCAGCTGATTCGTTCTTCTGAAATTTTCGAATTCTGCCTCAAGTCAGTGCTGAAGGAACTATATAAGGGGCATGGGGGCCACGGAGGGGGGGCTCATCAGCTGATGTTTTCTCCCTGTTTCTGAGCGATTGCCTCAGTGAAGGGAAATGGAAATGGAAAGTGAAACTGATTCAGTTCAAGAGGAGGAAAAGAAAACTTAAGGTGAAAATCTGCGATGACTCAGTCAAAGCATGTCCTTTCAAAACATAACTCTGAAACTTACAGTTGGAGAGAATGTGAAAGCACTCCCAGGAATCTGACCATAAATCTAGGGCAAGTCCCAGGAAATGGCTTTTCTTTTCTTGCAAGTGAACATTTTATTTTATTTATCTTGTTTGAAAACAAAACAAAACCCATTAAATACAATACAGTCATACAGGTACAAGATACAAGAAAAATATTTTTAAAATAACTTGTTTTTCTATTGAAAATGAAAAAGAAAAATTTAATGAAAAACCTAGAATGAGGAAACAAAAATATAAATGTTATGGTGTTTGTGTGTCACCTAGTATTGAATCCCTAGTATTGAATCAAATGCTAATCAAGGTGTTACTTTGAAGGCATTTTGTAAACATGACATATTCAATTGACTTTTTTCTCAAAATTAAAAACTTATTTTTTTTTTCTAGAGAGAATGAGATTGAGCGCTGGGTGAGAGGGGCAGAGAGAGAGGGAGAGAGAGAATCCCAAGCAGGCTCCACGCCCCGTGTGGAGCCCAACACGGGGCTCTATCTCACGACCCTGAGATCGTGACCTGAGCCAAAGTCAAGAGTTGGCCACTCAGCCGACTGAGCCACCTGGGTGCCCCCAAAACTTTTATTTTAGTGTAGTTGACACACAACATTGCATTAGTTTCCAATGTACAACTCAGTGATTTGACAATTGCATAGGTTATGCTACGCTCCCCACAAGTGTGGCTGCCGTCTGTCCCGTTACATCGCTATTACAATATCATTGACTGTATTCCTTATGCTCTGCTTTTTATTCCGGTGACTTACTCACTGCAGAACTGGAGGCTGTGTCTCCCTCTCCCCTTCACCTGCTTGGCCCAACCTCCCACCTCCCTTCTCTCTGGCAACCGTCAGTTTGTTCTCTGTATTTATATAGTTCTGATTCCGCTTTTTGTTTGTTTATTCTTTTTTTTAAGTTTCCACTTACGAATGAAATCATATGCTATTTGTCTGAGTCTGATTATTTCACTTAGCCTAATACCTTCTAGGTCCATCCATGTTGTCTCAAGTGGCATGATCTCATCCTTTTTGGGGACTATGTAATATTCCTCTGTGTGTGTGTGTGTGTGTGTGTGTGTACACACACCTTCCTTATCCATTCATCTAATTATAGACACTTAGGTTGCTTCCATATCTTGGCTATTGTAAATAATGCTGCAATAAACATAGGGGTGCAGATATCTTTTTGAATTAGTGTTTTCATTTTCTTTGGGTAAATATCCAGTAGTGGAATTATTGGATCACATACTATTTCTAATTTTAATTCTTTGAGGAAACTCCATACCGTTTTCCACAGTGACTGCACCAATTTACATTCCCATCAATGGTGCACCAGGGTTCCTTTTTCCCCACATCCTTGCCGACACTTGTTATTTCTTGTCATTTTGATTTTAGCCATTCTGACTGGTAAAAGGTGATATTCCATTGTGGTTTTGATTTGCATTTCCCTGATTAGTGATGTTGATCTGTATGTCTTCTTTGGAAAAATGCCCATTCAGGCCTTCTGCCCATTTATTAATTGGATTGTGTGGTTTTTTGGTATTGAGTTGTATAAGTTCTTTATATAGTTTGGATATGAACCCATCATTTGCAAATATCTTCCTTCATTCGATAGGTTGTCTTTCTGTTTTGTTGATGGTTTCCTTTGCTGTGCAAAAGCTCTTAATTTTGATGTAGTCCCAATGGTTTACTTTGCTTTTCTTTCCCTTGCATTAGGAGACATATCAAGAAATTGTTGCTATGGCCCATGTCAGAGAAATTACTGCCTTTGCTGTCTTGTAGGATTTTTATGGTTTCAGGTCTCACATTTAGGTCTTTAACCCACTTTGAGTTTATTTTTGTATGTAGTGTAAGTAGGTGGTCCAGCTTCATTCCTTTGTAAGTAGCTGTCCACTTTTCCCAGCACCATTTGTTGAAGAAACTGCCTTTTCCCCATTGTATATTCTTGCCTCTTTTATTACAGATTAATTGACCATATAATTGTGGATTTATTTCTGGGCTCTCTATTCTGTTCCATTGATCTATGTGTCTGTTTTTGTGCCAGCACCATACTGTTTGGATTACTATAGATTTGTAGTAGATCTTGAAATCTGGTATTGTGGTACCTCCAGCTTTGTTCTTTCTCAGGATTGTTTTGGGTCTTTGGAGTCTTTTGTGGTTCCACACAAATTTTAGTAATATTTGTTTTAGTTTCGTGAAAAATGCTATTGTGGGGGTATGCCTGGGTGGCGTCTGCCTTCGGCTCAGGTCATGATCCTAGGGGCCTGGGATAGAGCCTGGTGTCAGCCTCCCTGTTTAGCGGGGAGTCTGCTTCTCCCTCTACCCCTCCCCTGTTCGTGTCCTATCTCCCTCCCTCCTGCCCCCTCTCTCTCTCTCAAATAAATAAATAAAATCTTTAAAAAAAAAAAGAAAAATGCTGTTGGTATTTTAATAGGGATTGCATCGAATCTGTAGATTGCTTTGGGTAATGTGGACATTTTAACAATGTTAATTCTTCCAATCCATGAGCATATAATGTCTTTCCATTTGTTTGTGTCATCTTCAATTTCTTTCACTAGTGTTTTGTAGTTTTCAGAGTACAGGACTTTCACCTCTTTGGTTAAGTTTATTCCTACGTATTTTATTCTTTTTGGTGCAATTATAGATGGGTTTTTTTTTTTTAATTTCCCTTTCTGCTACTTTGTTCTTTGTGTATAGAAACGCCACCCATTTCTATATTAATTTTGTATCCTGCCACTTTACTGAATTTGTTTATTACTTCTGTAGGTTTTTTGGTGGAGTCTTTAGGATTTCCTACGTACAGTATCATGTCATCTGCAAATAGTGACAGTTTAACTTCTTCTTACCAACATGGATGCTTCTTATTTCTTTTACTTGTCTGATTGCTGTGGCTAGGACTTCCAGTATCATGTTGAGTAAAAGCAGTGAGAGTGGACATCCTTGTCTTGTTCCTGACCTTAAAGGGAAATCTCTCAGTTTTTCACCATTAAGTATGGTGTAAGCAAACTGTGGGTTTTTCATATATGTCCTTTACTCTGTTAAGGTATATTCCTTCTAAACCCACTTTATTGAGAGTTTTTATCATGAATGGATGTTGAGTCTTGCAAATGCTTTTTCTGCATCTGTTGAGATGGTCAGATGATTTCTATCCTTCATTTTATTGATGCGGTGTATGGTGTTAATTGATTTCTGAGTACTGAGCCCTCCCTGCATCCCTGGAATAACTTCCACCAGATCATGGTGAGTGATCTTTTTAATGTATTATTATATAAGACGGTGTGGACCTTCTTGGGTTCATCTTGTTTGGAACTCTCTGTGCGTCTTGGACTTGGATGTCTATTTCCTTCTCTAGGTTAGGGAAGTTTTCTGTTATTATTTCTTCAAGTAAGTTTTCACACCTTTCTCTCTCATTTCTTCTGGGACTGCTATAATGTGAATATTTGCTTACTTGATATTGTCCAAGAGATCTCTTCATTTATCCTCATTTTTTAAAATTCTTTGTTTTGCTGTGCAGCTTCTGTGTTCTCTATCACCCTGTGTTCCAGATGGCTGATACATTCTTCTGCATACTCTCATCTACTGCTGATTCTCTCTGGTGTGTTTTATATTTCAGTTCTTGTATTCTTTAGCTCTGACTGGTTCTTTTTAATATTTTCTAACTTTTTATTGAAGGTCTCACTGAGTTCTTCCACTCTTTTCTCCAGCCCAGTGAGCGTCTACACAATAATTACTTTAAATTCTTTATCAGGTGGGATACCTATCTGGCTCAGTCAGTAGAGCATGTGACCCTCAATATCAGGGTCATGAGTTCAAGCCCCATGTTGGAGCTACTTAAAAGAATTTAAAAAAATTCTTTATCAGGTGTGTTTTTTATCCCTGTTTCACCTAGTTCTTTTTCTGACATTTTTTTCTTGTTCTTTTTTTTTTTTTTCTTTTTTGGAGCATATCCCTCAGTCTCCCCATTTTGATTGACCTTCTGTGTTTATTTCTGTGGATTAGGTGGAATGGCTACTTCTCCTAAACTTGAAGGAGTGGTCCTGTGAATGGTGTCCCCTCTGTAGATTGTGTTCTTGATGTCTTTTGCTGGCTGGCTGGAGCTGTGGCTGTATATGCTAGTCATTATTTTAAACAGTGCCTTTTTAGAAATGTCAGTCAGAGAAAGGCAAATACCATATGATTTCACTCCTATGTGGAATTTAAGATGAATATAGGGGAAGGGGAAGAAAAATAAAATAAGATAAAAACAGGGAGGGAGGCAAACCACAAGAGACTCCTAACCATGGAGAACAAACAGGGTTGCCGGAGGGGAGAGGATGGGGAATGCGCTAAAAGGGTGATGGGCATTAAGGAGGGCACGTGTTGGGATGAGCACTGGGTGTTGTATGTAAGTGGTGAATCACTAAATTCCACTCCTGAAACCAATACTACACTGTATGTCAATGAATTTAACATTGAATTTAAGTAAGATCTTGGAAGGAAAAAAATAAACAGTGGTGTTCTACAGAGAGAAGAAAATAATGAAGAGAAGAAAATAATGATACTGCTAATAATAATAATGATAGGAAAAGAAAAGAAGAAAAGGAGAAAAAAGCAGAAAAGAAAAAAATGAATAAGGAGAATAAAACAAAACCAAAAAGAACACAAATTAAAACAAGACAAGACACATTTTAAAAAATTAAAAAGTAAGATAAAATAAAAATTAAGAAAAAGGTTGTAATTAAAACCAAAGCAAAACAAAAAAGGAAAAA